GGCTATGGGTCGGACCCGACTCGATGGCACTTAACAACAACAACAACACAACAACAAGAATCCTAGTCAAGGAGTCCTAGTGTGCCGTTGTGGGTTAATGCACCAGACTCCAAAGCCGTTTGAACATCAAGGTCAGTAGTTCAAGCTCATCAGCTGCTCTTTGGAAACCCTACACAGGGTCCCTATGGGTTGGAACTGACTCAACAATGCTTAACAACAACAACAACAATATCCTACTCAAGGAGCCCTGGTAGTGTAGTGGTTACAAGTTGAGCTGTTACCCTCAAGGTCAGCAGTTAGAACAGCAGCCATTCTGAGAGAGAAAATTAGGTTTTATGCTCTGGTAAAAATTTACAGCCTCAGAAACCCTATACAGGATCTCTGTGTGTTGTAACTGACACTATGGCACACCACCACATCCTAGTATGCTGGAAGTAGGGGAGGTAAGGTCTAATTTTGTGTCTGTAATACATAATATGATTACTCTAAGTCCATGGAGCATGGTGGCTTTGTAGGCTAAGCACTGGAATGTGAATCACAAGGTCAAACCCACCTGCTCCTACACTGGAGAAAAATGAGGCTTCTGTTCTTGCAAATATTTCCAAAGCTCGGACATGCTATAAAGGGTCACTGTGAGTCAGAACGAATAGATGACACGTAACAATAACAAGAAGACTGAGAGCAATATTCTTCTAGCTACTGAGTGAATAAATTGTTGTTATTGTTGTTAAATGTCATCGAGTCGGTTCCAACCCACAGCGACCCTGTATAGGGTTTCCAAGGAGCGACTGCTGAGTTTGAACTGCCGACCTTGCAGTTCAAACCAACTTTGCAGTCCAGCACTTTAACCCACACAGCGCCACACCAGTGAATGAGTTAGGTTATAATTATTTGGAAGAGAAAAAAACCTACTAGAAAAATAAACACCTGTCTCCCAAGAAATGCTATTTGTTTATAAATATGATTTTAAAAAAATAGATTAGCGTAGTGGTTATGAATGGGGCTGCAAACCACAAGGTCAGCAGTTCGAAGCTACCAGCTGTTCCGCGGGAGAAATATGAGGCTTTCTGCTCCCGTAGAGATTTACAGCCTCGGAAATCCTGTACAGGGTTGCTATGAGTCGAAACCGACTCCACGGCACATAGCAACAACAACAACAACAACATATCAACTTTGGATTAATGCTTTTAATTCATACTCTGATATTCAGC